AATATATATAAATAATTTCACTATTACGAGACATAGATTAAAAACTAATAACTGTTTAGTTTTCCTGAAAAATTTTATATTTTATTTTAATTGTTACATAACATATTTTAAGACAATAAAAAAGCAATAAATATAGAATATCAAATAATTAGAATCTCTTATTTCTTAAGAAATCAATTTAAATAAGTTTTATCAATGTTATATTAATCTATTGTCTCATGTAGTGTATATTAAATTAACTACATTTAAATTTATTTCGGTTTTCACAATAGTTTAATTTATATTCCAAATGTTGAGTAAAAATATCAAGTGATAAGAAATAAATTTTATAGAAGGAGAAATAATAATACACATTCCTCGTAAATGTATCATCATATTCGATCTGTTACCTATTAAATGTCGTATTTTTGACTCGACAAGACCGCACCATTCAAGTTGATCTTCCGCGCTTAAACTTTTGGCTAACAATACAATATAATGTTTGTATTTGCCAAAAAAATTTGGCGGCTCGAACAACTTGTCCCACGTTGCTTTACCCATGATAATTTCTTCCGTTATAGCTAGTCCGTTTTCAAACGCTTCTTGCATGATGGTTCTGGTTGATACAGACACGTTGAAGGTAGAATTTTGTTGAGGATATGCTGGTGTAATTATTGGCATTAGATGATATCTGTCTGCTACATTTACCTTAAAAAGTAAAAAAGTACAGTGTTTATGACAAAAATAATACATTATACGCAAAAATTTCATTATAATGTTATCTTCTTGATATTATGCATTATTTAAATATTTATTTATATATAAAATATAAAAATTATAATTCTTACTCTTGGATCCCAAACTGGATAACCTAAATTGACATTATCAGGTTGTTTTAAAAGTACTGGTTGTGGCCATTTCCATTGAGAGAATACAAGGAAAAATTTTTCTATTAGAGTTGCAGCCACGGCATTAGGATAAAGCTGACATGTCCGAGCGACTAGCATTGCCCAAGATACACCACCAAGATAACCTAAGACATTACTATATATGCCATGTCCTAAAAATAAAAAAATAACCAACATATTATGTATTGGTCATTTTATAAAACATTATTAAATAAAGTGTTACATCTTACGTTTTGCCCATAATTTTATAGCTCTCAGAGCCAATCTGAAATTTTCTATATTAGGTACTAAACGTAGTATTTCATCCGTTACTCTGCAACCATTAAGACTTCTGACACACTTCTGATCAAGATTTTTTAGTAGCATATCATCCCTGAGATCCTATATTTATAAAAATTTATTGTAAAATATAACATTCCTTTAGACATAGAATCCTTTTTTGTATAAATATAAAATATTATTAACCATTGAATCTGGAATTTCCTTAAGAGTTAACTTCGCAAATAGCATGTCGATTTCTATGCCGTCAAAATTCATTTTTATAACTGGTACAAAGGCTTCTTCTACTGCCTACAATGTGATAAATATTACACAAATATTAAATCTGTATTAAATATATATTAAAGATTATTACATGCATATATATTTCTTAACTTTCCAATCTTTTATAAATAAACATACATATTTTCTTTTACCATACAAACGCATTTTTATAGAATATTAATATATTCAAATATGTATGTAATAAAAAGTATGATTTATAAAAGATTTAATTATATAAATTAAATAATACAATACCACACACATATAAGAGTTTCTTCTGAAGAGACAAATATATTTAATATAAGGCATGCAGTAGTATTATTTTTTTTGCATTACATACCCTTAAATCTGTAACTTCTTCTTGCATTTTCAATAAGTCGAAAAAGGACGTAAAATAATCTTGTCTATATATATGACGTGGTACAACACACAATGCGTCAATGTCAGCGCCTTTGTGATGTACCCCTAACCTATATGAACCGAATGTGTATATTTTACCACCCACTTGTTCGGCCACATTAGGTGGCATGTTTCTAGCTATACTCGTATCTCTTATCCACTGTTTAACCAATGCGTTCAGTTTACTACAAGAATAATCAGGTTTTAATAGTTGATAGTCTACTTTCATTAATAAAATATTAATTATTATAACTGTTATCAAAATACTATATTATGTAAACAATTATAGACAATTTGTTAAATATACCTTAAAATCTCCATCCTATGATTCAATTCTTCTTCAGATTCAAAAACATTATAGGGTTTCAGGGCCTCCTTCAATTCATTGGTTCTAGAGATGTCCATGGGTTTAGGTTCAGCTACGCTGATGGCTGATGTCATCCCCAGAGTACGTAAATTGTTCTTTTCATTTGACGCAGAGTTCGGATTAGAATTATTATTACTTTGTGCTGACCACATTTTGATATCTTTTCAATTAAGTATACACCTGTAAATAGATATCATATTGTAATAAAAATCTATGTATGTATAGTGATAGTATAATCTTTCAATATTTTTACATGCTTCTGAAACAAATAGTAGATATATAAAAAATCTAGCGAACATTATTTACAGAAAATATCAATAACAGAATCTTAAAATAAGAGCGATCTTTGTTTTCAATACGCATATAAGCCATGTGCTTTGTTTCAAGGCACTCAGGTCAGTGAATTCCTTGTGATGATAAAGATTCTATCTAAACAATGGATGGCGCGTCGCATGTTGCTAGGGCCAAGCAAGAAACGAAAACGAGACAAAGATTAAAGAATCAGACGATGCACGCACGTGACAGAGAACTTACCGCTTGATAATATTTCGTCAAAGATGCAACCGCATGATAAATGTGAGACGCACAGGATGAAGTAATCCACTTGTGTTGTCAGGTTATAAAACACGGTACAAGTGCACACGTCTAGCGTGGCATAGCGTGGTGCATCGAATTGCGCTGTGGTCGCTGACGAAGTGGCGACGACGTACGTCGCGTTCCTGGAAACCGCGCGCCACGCGGATTCCCGCGCGGCTTACGACGGCGCGGACCTACCCGTAAACAACCTCTGCAGGAACGAGGGTAGCATCTAGCCGTGCGGGTCGCGAGTGCGTCCAAGATCTCGCGGTCAACCTCGTTGCATGCGCGGCTACAGCGATAGGATTACCGCGCGGTGTGTTGCCGTTCACTGCACTCCTTGTCGCGAATCGGCGACACGCGGATCGGTCTCTGTGCCTTGCACTGCGTCGCGACACTACGTAAATAAACGGCCGAACATTAAGATACTACACGCGAGAAAAAATAAGCGAGACAACACATATACCCGCGCACCCCGCGCTACGCACACCACCTACAACGCTGACTGCAACACAAACATGGCGTACCCCGACCACTCGTCGTTGGCCAACAGTCGGGGAATAAATGAATTACAAAGAGTGCACTTTATATGATGAACTCGACGACAGTGACATCTGACTTGGATGCATCTAATTGCGCGATCGCGAAGGATCTATAGATAATGAAGAATCTCGGACATATTATTTTTAATAATTTATTATTGATATTTTTAGACCTGATTGAAACAATGCTTTATTTTAATAGCGTGCTAGGCCAATATTACATACAACCAATTTGTTGTCGTACAACTAATTTTTCAAACCTGTTGATTGATTATAAGACAAAGAGATTTAAGATCTTCTCTGTCTTGCAGTCAATTAACACGCTTGAATTCGTTGTACGACAAAACGGATATATGTAACATTAGCCCTAGTCTTCTAGTGCGTTAGAAAATTTGCAGCTAAAAAAAACAATTTTATAAATATAATTTTATAAGCTTTATAAATATATTTTTTTAACTGCTAGTTTTCTAATGAAAAATTTATAGAATTATATTTTTAATTACTAGTTTCTTTAGTTTGGCAGAAGACTAAGATGTTAATAGCTAATAAAAAACTGTGAATTAGAGTGACTTTGGTCAACTTAATCGAATTAATTTTATTAAGTATAATATGAAAATTATTAAATTAATCAATTACGTTTAATGTATCAAAAAAAAAAAAAAAAATGAAGAACAATGATGTATATTAGAGATTTCTTTAAAAGATTCTTGTCTATTAATTTCTATCAATGTAGATATTAATTTTTATTAACTTATTTTTTATCTTTAATTTTCTCTAATTTTAATAATTATAAAAAGATAAAGAGTGAATTAAATCGAGATTAAAAACATTTGCTAAAAACGGACTTCTCCGTTAACGATCAATTAAATTAACCGCCGATTAAATTAATCGAGTTTGATTGAAGTCGCATCTTTCGTACGTTACAATTCTATTGCTTTCCATTTAGTGGTACAAGTCGACACAAACATCATTCTATCTTTCTTGGTATTCAGAGAGTAACAAAAATAAGACGACGCTTGCGTCAGTTTGTATCGCCTTGTGTCATCAAATAGAAAGCGTTGAGTGCTTTATGCATCTATGCAACGCCAAGTAAATTATCGGGTCAAACGCACACAATTCTGACGAATATCTGGACAAAAATAAAAGAAGAAAAAATATCTGACTTGAAAATACGTAAAGAAGTGAAGGATACTAATTAATATTAGCAAATTTTTATATATTTTTAAAAATTATGTGAAATCGACACGTACACATAACTACGTACAAACAACTTATTTTAATTTAAAAATTTAGATTCTATAATATTTATTAAAAATTTTCAATATCTGCAATTGCTTAGTCTATAAATTTTCAATATTAATAATTCAATTTTCTATGAAGTGTTTAATTAAAATCGATATCATCTATACATTTATTTAATTAATTGGTTTTAAAATAAGCATTTTTGTTAGAAAAGATCTCTCTCGATAACATTGACAATTTATTAAATTATTATTAA